AATGTACCCTGAGTGTAAACCTTAGCCGCATTCACCGTGAAGCGTGCAAGCGATTTGCAAAGATTAATATAAAGGTTAATAAAATTTTACACTCACTTCTTCTGGAGGTGCAGCAGGAACACGAATAGTTGGTACCGATTCTTTTTTCAGGAGCAGCTTCTTAGCAATACCAGCTTTATACTGACCCTCGTTTATAAAGCAGTCTGGTGAGAAATGATTCGCGCAAACATGAAAGCATTGACGTTGCTCGTGGGGAATACTCCATTCGAAAACAAAACTCAGCCACTGCATCTTCAACGGTTCGGATTTAGGAACATCAAAATGACTGTGTTCGTTATTACACCGAAGAACAGAACACCACAATCGCTTAGACGCCATTCTGCTCCAGCTTATAAACAATGGCGGACTATGATGACAGCTCGCTCAGGGCGAGGATGTGTTGAAACGCTGCTGTCAATCAACAATCGTGGGAGGGGTGTCCGTTTTATTGACGTCACAAAATCGAACGGCTCAATTTGAGACAGGGGAAAACATATAAGGAGATTAAAACAAAAACACTGGAGAGATTTTTATCATTATATGATGGTTGTGTACAGGCACTGCCAACACACATTTCAGTACAATCAACTTGAAAAAGTGCATGTACCATTATATGACCCCTTTAAAAATCAGTATAACAATAATAGACAAAGCATACTATAATATACCGGTACACTGCCCGGCCAAAAAAAAAAAGAAGCTGTTTGGATTTAAATAGGCAAATGCTTAAGAGTCAATGATTGGATCATTATTGCAGTGATTATTATGTTTACAGAAATATGTCACACTGTTCTAGATGTGTTTTCTTTGAGACCTATCTTTGGGTTTGTATATATGAATGTTTGTGTGAGTTCACACACTCACCCTGAGCTCTTTGAGGCAGAAGGTGATGCTGGTCTGAGTGCTGATGGCAAAATGATCAAACTCCTCCGAGCTCAAACACAGTTCAGTCATCATTGCCCGTGATGGGTCTGAGAGAGGAAAAAACTTTGACTTGACTTGTTTTCTGCATAGCAGCAGAATGAAGACTGAAACCGCTGATACCTGCGTCCTCCTCGACGTGGTTCCTGAGCCACACTCGATCACTGCTCACTGACAGATTCACCTCCTCCTGAGATGGAGGGAAATGCAGAACTGTGTCCACCATCAACCTACAGTAAACAAGACAACATCATTAAACACACTCTAAAAGGTACTGCAAATGGGTTGATATTAATATCGAGGCATTAAGATTAATGTAAACCTGGGTTGAGCTTGTAGCACGTTTGCACAGCTTTCTTTATCAAACACGGCCTGCAAACTCTCACAGTCCTGAAAGGACAAATTATGTGTTTTCAAGAGCCCTGTAACAAACACACAGTTTAGTTGATCATACTGTAAAACATGCCATTTCTATGCAAGATTTGTAACAAGTTCGAATGAAATAAAATGTATTTGTGTACTATACCTTAATGAAGGTTAATCAAGTCAAATGTATTTGTATAGCGCTTCACACAATACACATTCGTTCAATGTGGCTTTACAGAAAATCATGATGTTAATGTGTATAGTATTTTAATATCTTTATGCCTTATAGTCGCATTTAGCAGATTAGAGATTGGTGATGATAATATAGTTTACATTTTGCAATGATACAAGCAGTTGAGATTTGCTATATAGAATATATTGTTTTACGTGAGTCTATACTGTATGTTTGTGGATGAAGTTGGATATTCATAATTTATATAATCAACTTTATATATAGAGCTATGTGATGATATGGTTTACATTTAATCCTACTAACAAAAAGCATGAAACAATGTTGTTTTTAGGGGAACGTTTTTACCGTGTTTACAGTGCAGAGTTATGGTCAACCGACTCTTTTCACTGTTCAACTGAATACGGCACTTTTCTACAGAGCGATCCAGAGACGACAGGGACTTGAACACAGCCTGAACACTCTGAAGAACACAAGAAAAAGACAAGTAGACTTCAAGAAGATTTTACATTCTGAAGCGCAAACGTGCTGCGTAACACGAGAATGAACGTCATTGGTTCTCGCACATCAAGCAAACATGCTTGAGCTTCCGTTTACCACAACTGATGTGTGAGTTGATGAATGTTTATATGTGAATAAAAGACTCAATTCAATCTGTTCATCATATAAAGCAATCGAGTCTCTGCAGAAAATTTGGAATAAACCCCTCAATTCATATGGATTAGTTTTACATTCTCTTTATGAACTCTTTGAAGTGTCAAATTGGTAGTTGCGTAGCTGTCAATGGAGGGACAGAAATCTCTCAGACTCCATTAAAAAGATCTTCATTTGTATTTCGAAGATGAACGAAAGTCTTATGGGTTTGCAACGACATAGGGGTGACCCTTTAAAATAACTCTTGAAGAAACATCTCATTACTGGTGCGAGGGCAGGACAAACCGTCACTTACATCAGATCGACCAAAAGCAAACCACAACAATCCAATCAATTCCCCACGGACAAATCAAGCTCGTCCTACATTTAATTGTATCACTCAGATATAGGCTACATAACAATAGGGAAGAAAACACTATAGCAATCTGATTCATGCCGACTTTAATAGATAGACACATTATAGTGTATACGTGATGCATTGACAAGTATTTAGTTCCCAAAATATAGAGGAACTGCAGAGACGGAATTAACAGAACAGGAAAAGTTACCTTAATGGGTATTTTGCAGCGAAAGCTCTGGTCTGAAGGAGCCTGATATTTCTGGAAGAAGAGAGGAGACAGCAGGAAGCAGGCAAAGGCTGACCGGGAAGAGTTAACCGACCGAAGGGCCAACTAAAAACACAGAACACACACAAGTCACATTATTTTAACAGCTGACATTAGTCTATCATAAACACTGGAAACAAACACATACCCCATCCTCCACAGGCTCCAAATACAGCTCCTCTCCGATTCTTGACAGCGAATGTATGGCTTTTGCTAAAACTACACACACACACAAAAAGGTGTGCATGACTAAACTTCTGTTCATAAAGCCTTTTTATATAAGAGCAGGGGAAGTTCACACAGGAAGCTTCTATGTAGCATTTTAAGTTTAATTATAATATAATTTTGAAAAACACGTCTCGTCCTGTGAACGGCTTCAGTTATTACCTTTCACGTTTCCTCCGGTTGCAACACAATCCATTATATTTTGCTTGTCAACAATATTATTTTTAAACAACATAAATTATTTACATTAATTTTCCTCCGGCTCAAGCTGGTGTAAGTTATGTGTAGGATCACGGAACCGGCCACATGACGCAAGTAGCTCATATAACGCAAGAAACTGCTCGTGAAGATACGTTTAAGAGCTGTTATCTGTTATCGCATAACATAAAGTACACAATTCAGACTACGGTGAACTTTTTAGAAGCTGATAATTTAAGATTTTGTTTACTTCGAATCCGACATGTGGCGCGTATTTTCTGCTCTAGCCAATCAGAGGGAGGTATCAGATACAGGTGTTTGCGTCATAACAAAGCGCCCAACAAAATAGAAGGTCCCAACCGTTCCAACATGAGCATAACATTACGTAAGGAAACTACTTAAACATCAAGAACAGGTTCTGCAGGATCCTCTTCAAGTTAAATGACAACACAATTATATTAATCATAATACTTTATAATTAGTTTAAATAAGAATAGAAATAAACAGCTGTTTGATAATTGTCATCTAAAATGTCTGTAACAACAGCATCACAGCAATATTCTATATCCTATGTTAACATAACGTATTTTTGTTTGAGGCATATTTTCTTTTTTCTCCTCAGCAAAATTTAGTTTGAGCCCTTTGTTAATCTGTCGTTGAAGTATTTAAATCAACATCAGCATTATTCTACTTCATTAATTTCTTATTGCCTAGTTTTGATTTACTTTACCATAGTTCTTGCATTGTAACAATATAATTTATTGTTTTTTACTTTCTAGTAATATAAATCTTTATAGTTAAATAAATCTACAGCAATCTAGCTAAATACCATTATTACTATTAGTGTTATAATAAAAACAGTGATTTTGCATTAGAGAACTGCAGTATGTTGGCTGCTTAAAGGGATAGTTCACTTTGAAATTAATTTTTGAAATGTTTTAGCTTACCTCAAGGGCATCCAAGATGTAGGTGTCTTTGTTTCCGCAGTAGTTTCAATTTTGATATTTTTAGGTCAAACTGTTCTTGTCTGTCAGTCATATAATGTAGGTCTACGGTCATTACCTCAAAGAGCATGCACAGAGAAGTCCAAATTAAACATGATTTAATGACTCGTAAATGTAAGCACACATTGATGGCCTAAGACACGAAACGAGCGGTTTGTGTGAGAAAACGAACAGTATTTATATTGTTTTTACCTCTTGTAACGCACAGACCGAAGCGCCCGCGCCCTCAGATCACTTGGACATGGCTGTGGTTAGATGATATAAATCGAGGTAAAAGACGAGGTAAAAACGATATAAATACTGTTCTTTTTCTCACACAAACCGCTCGTTTCGTGTCTTAGGCCATCAATGTGTACTTACATTTACGAATGACTGACAGACAAGAACGGTTTGACCTAAAAATATCAAAATTGAAACTACTGCGGAAACAAAGACACCTACATCTTGGATGCCCTTGAGGTAAGCTAAACATACCAAAAATTAATTTCAAAGTGAACTATCCCTTTAAAAGAAAAGAGGTGACCAATTAAATGAAATCGCTCCACGTCATAATAAGACATAAAAATGTTCTCAAGGGTTTAAAACACAGTGTCTTCGTCATTCAGCGGCTGGTCAGAGGGAGTGACAAAAATACAAAATGTTTCGTCCTGACACACTCGTCTTACCTGTCCATCTGGCTGTTGGACACACCTCTTTCCTCTCTTTCTGCCTTGAACTATTATTCATAACACTCCTTCCTTTTGCAAGATTTCATAAATCAAGAAAAGATTTAGAGAGCTAACAGGAGGGATGAAAACACGGGGAGCTGAATGGCGGACAGAAATAAATACTTGTATGGACTAACATGAGGATATAAATGAAGGATCTATGGAATTGTCCAGCATGGGTGAAAGTTGAGCGTCTAGAGTGAGTCTGCTTTATTGTGTACATCTTGCCTCTATCTGTGAGTTGACTCTACTCATGTGTGCGCATGTGGTAACATAGAGCCCAATGGAGGAGTTGAACCCTGTTTCAGACACTCATGCCTTACTTGAATCTATGCTTCAGAAATTACAGCTAAACACAACAACCAACAGTAGCTTACATGCTGATATGCAAACACGTAGTCCGTATGAAACAGGGGAGGATTCATCTAAAGCAGCAGTTTATTCGTTTCGATTTTCTTCCAAAAGTAAAGAGCGAGATGGAAGCACCTCAGTTTGGAATAAGAGGGAGAATCCATGGACTCAACAATCTTCTAATTTTGAGGGTGCATTGACTCCTAAGCAACCCGTCAAAAGGATCAGTAAACACAACTCGGGATTCTCTACTAAACCAAAACGGCCACCATTAATTTGGGGGGAACACACACGCTTTACGTCAGAGAGGACCGATGATGTCACTTCCTGGGTCGGAGACAATCAGATGCCCAGGCCAGAGAAGATGCAACAATTTTCTCTGGAAGGGAACACCAGCTCAAATGTGCCACCGTTATACAAAACAGAATCCTTCCAAAACCCCCCTGACCTTCTGGCTCCAACACTGACACCATCATCTTCAGTGGTGGAAAAACCAGAGGTCAAGGGTCAAAGTGGTACATGGAGCTGGGTTGCTGTGAATGAGAAAATTGAAGGCATCAGACCTCACGAGCAGTCAGGAAAAACGACAAAGACAAGTAGGAAGAAGTGGGGTGAAGCTAAAAGGTGGGCTCAGAATGTGAAAGAGAGATGGAGAGAGAGACACAGAAGCACAATGACCAGACAAAGAGATGATGGAGAAAGACTAGCGCAGAATGAAGTACAAGTGAGTATTTGTGTCCGCTTGGTTTAATACTGTCCAAGCCAGTTTTGTACTAGTTCTTTGTCTATTAGTGGAGCTTGCAATATTAGGCTACTACACTGAACCAAACACTGCAAACTTGCAAAGTTATTAAACTAGCCTAATTTAGAATTCACGACTGTTGTTGGGATACTTTCGTTTTCATTTTCAGTTTAAAAAAAATTTATTAATCATTTGGAAAAACAAAACATAGAAACACTTAGCGTGAGCGTACAACCAGTAGTATGACCGGTACAGTCTGTTTGGATACTGAACTCCATCCATCCATCCATCTTCTTCCGCTTATCTGGGGCCGGGTCGTGGGGGCAGCAGTCTAAGCAGAGATGCCCAGACTTCCCTCTCCCTAGACACTTCCTCCAGCTCTTCCGGGGGGACACCGAGGCGTTCCCAGGCCAGCCGGGAGACCCCGGGATAATCCCTCCAGCGTGTCCTAGGTCTTCCCCGGGGTCTCCCGGTGGGACGCGCCCGGAACACCTTCCCAGGGAGGTGTCCAGGAGGCATCCGGAACAGCTGTTCGAGCCACCTCAGCTGACCCCTCTCGATGTGGAGGAGCAGCGGCTCTACTCTGAGCTCCTCCCGAGTGACCGAGCTCCTCACCCTATATCTGCGGAGAAAGCTCATTTCGGCCGCCTGTATACGGGATCTTGTCCTTTCGGTCATGACCCAAAGCTCATGACCATAGGTGAGAGTTGGAACGTAGATTGACCGGTAAATCGAGAGCTTCGTCTTGCGGTTTAGCTCTTTCTTCACCACGACAGACCGCTACATCGACCGCATTACTGCAGAAGCTGCACCGATCCGTCTGTCAATCTCCCGTTCCATCCTTCCCTCACTCATGAACAAGACCCCAAGATACTTGAACTCCTCCACTTGAGGCAGGAACTCTCCACCAACCTGAAGTTGGCAAGCCACCCTTTTCCGACTGAGGACACTAAACTGTTCTGAAAATTAGGAAATGATGTCAAGTATAGCAACCACCTAACAACTGCATAACAGTGTGCTAAAAAACACTCAGAATGCCTTAGCAACAGAAACTGTCAATCGCCAGTTGGCTGGCAATGCAATGTTGTGAGAACATAAACAAACGTGAACGATGCTCGGGACAGTTGATGGGCCAGTGCTGCATCGTCAAAAAAGATTAAACCTTGGGAATTTAAATATTCAAACGTTAGAAGACGCAAAAGGAAACTCAATTTGTTACTTGCACGCTGTGTGGGAAGATTTGTGCGTGCACACATCTGAAGCGCACACAGAAAGCCGTGTCTCAGACAGCACAGAAATACTGAATTGAGCTTTCTTTCATGCCTTCTTGCGCTTGAATTCACAAATTCAAAAATATCCGTCTCGGAGAGTATCCTAGTAAACATAGTCGGTTATATCTTAAGTGAACGTAAATAGTAGATGGAAGAGTAGATGTGTACCTGTATCAGTGTATTATATCTTAATATTAGCCTAATATTTCTGCTGCTGTCTGTTTTATTGTGTTAATCAAACAACAAAGGACAAAGAAAAAAATCATTCACTGCTCTTGACTGAATAACCTTTTTAACTTTAATCATGATTAATTTGTTTAATTTATGCAATGAAGACTATCCACTGTTATTTTACATTTGATTACTTTATTCAGTGTCTCTACTGTTACTGTACTCTAAAACTACTGTTGTAGAGTACAGTACAGTAGAGTACAACCACTCAAAACAGCCTAATGTGATGTGCCTAATGTTGTTCCAGTAATCAGTTGCCCAAACAATTCAGCATCATGACAGAGACGTTTTGTGGGCAAGCACAAGCACCATGCAAAATGTAGAATTATTTTAAAACACTAGTCCTTTCTGCTTATATTCAGAGTAATCTATCGTCATTATCTGGGCCCAACTATGTGAACAACACACCTACGGCACCCACTGAGGCTACAGATATCCACCATGAACCGATCAACAGAGCACTGGATGAATATGGCCCTGCTTCGCTAAGCTACATGAGGTAAACACATTAGAAATATGCAGCAGACATAGTTATCATTCCACGTGTCTGATCCATGAATCACTTTCTTTTTCTTGAAAAACTCCTGTCTCATCGAGAAAGAATGTGTGACCCAGTTAGGGCTAAAATAATGAAAACACAATAAAATATGAGAGCTATTCAGAGTAAGGGTGCACCTATTAAATCCTGGTTGAGGCGGTTTTCATGACTCAACCCCTATCTTTCACCCTTCTTCTCAGTAACAGTCTTTTCTCATTTAGCACTACTTCTAATTTGATGGAGGAGATCTTCAGCGGGACAGAGTGGGCTCAGTTTCTCTCAGTTAAATGCACCACGCAGGACCAATCAAACGAGCCACAAATTAATATCAACCAATCACGTGAAGAACAGCGGAACAGTAAATGGACTCAAAATTACACAACCGATTCTCATTTAGGTATGACTAAACCTTTGCTCTCCGAGAGCTTTGCCTCCGATAAACCTGTTTACAACCAAACCGAGACGTCCCAGATGAGTGTTCCTTCATCACACGTTACTGATCTCACCACAAATACATTACAAACTTCTGACCTGTTTACAAACGTGTTACAAAACGGCAATCTGAAACTCAATGAATCTCACCAAACGACAAACGAACAATCACAGTTTTCCCAGCTTGATCCGAACAAATCAAAGGCAACTGACCATAGCGATCCACAACTGATGTCTAGTCAAGTATCTGACCCCAAACAAGGTGGGACGGAGGATTTCATACCTCTCTTGGACCTTTCACTCATTAAGGTGAAAGTATAAGCATTAAGAAACAATACTGATTTATTAGGTTGTTAGTAATTAGCAACATGTTAGAATATATGTTAATTCTTTCTTATTTCTTTTCCTTCTTTTCTCTCAGCCAATGGACAGATGTTCCATAAAATCCTATGGATCTATGAGCCGTAAAAGAGAGCATTGGACAAAAAGGAGAGATCCATTTAAACACACCACACAAGACATGGAGGACGAGGACCACAGCAGCTCTTTCATGGCCACAGAGACTTCAGACTCACCCACGTCTTCACTCAACTCGCTGATGGACTCCATCTCAGTGTCTTCTTTGGAGACTGCGGTCAAAAAGGTATGATTTACTACATGACAGAAGAAAATATGCATTCAATAAGCCAGTTTTAAAGTGCCCCAATTATGCTATTTTAAAGGTTCCTAATTTTGTTTTGGAGGTCTCCTTCAAAAGGTTTACATGCATCCACGGTCAAAAACACTTAATTTTCTCATAATATACAGTGTAGCATCACCTCTTTTCTCACAGTGTCTGAAATGATTCGATAAAGGATTCAGTCTCTATAAACCCCTCCTTTCCGAGAGTCTACTCTGCTCTGATTGGTCAGATTGTCCAGTCTGTTGTGATTGGTCTACTCTGCTCTGATTGGTCAGGTGGCCCAGTCTGTTGTGATTGGTCTACTCTGCTCTGATTGGTCAGATTGTCCAGTCTGTTGTGATTGGTCTACTCTACTCTGATTGGTCAGATGGCCCAGTCTGTTGTGATTGGTCTACTCTACTCTGATTGGTCAGATGGCCCAGTCTGTTGTGATTGGTCTACTCTACTCTGATTGGTCAGATGGCCCAGTCTGTTGTGATTGGTCTACTCTACTCTGATTGGTCAGGTGGCCCAGTCTGTTGTGATTGGTCTACTCTGCTCTGATTGGTCAGATTGTCCAGTCTGTTGTGATTGGTCTACTCTACTCTGATTGGTCAGATGGCCCAGTCTGTTGTGATTGGTCTACTCTACTCTGATTGGTCAGATGGCCCAGTCTGTTGTGATTGGTCTACTCTACTCTGATTGGTCAGATGGCCCAGTCTGTTGTGATTGGTCTACTCTACTCTGATTGGTCAGATGGCCCAGTCTGTTGTGATTGGTCTACTCTACTCTGATTAGTCAGATGGCCCAGTCTGTTGTGATTGGTCTACTCTACTCTGATTGGTCAGATGGCCCAGTCTGTTGTGATTGGTCAACCACTTACGGCTTTAGAAACCAAATGTTGCTGTGTGTCTGAATTTCAGTTCCGGATCTTCCTCAGCACTTGAAACACAGTGATACAAACAGTATCGGTCTTACTGTATCAATTCGAGCCAGAGTCCTCATCCTTTGGAAGTTCATGCAAAGTGGATTTGCTTTGGCAAACAAACAAAAACATAACAGGGGAACTTTAACTGATAAATAACCTGATTTTTTTATGAAAATTAGTATCAGTTTTGTGGTGTCATTTTTATTAAACATGGAAGAATTGTTTAACCCCTGATTAAAGTTTAGGGTGTGAACATAGTTTGTTAATACAGATGCACATGTGTTGTTATGTCAAGATGATTGTAATTTAAGATGCGTTAATTGTTGGGTGGTGCTGAGTTTTTAGCTTGTCTTATGACACAGGCTACTACGGTGTAGGTCACTACAAATTTCTTTGACAGATTCTGTAAGTCACACTTTGATTAATGTGTAACATCAGCAACCTACACTGCTATGAGGACGATCCTCATTACTTTCAATAAGCATGTACATTACCATTCAATGGTTTGGGGGCAGTAATGTTTAAAAATAAATGAGTACATTTATTCAGCAAGGATGATTGATGCTGTTTTTTTTTACTTTATAACTCACCATGATATACTGGTGTACAAGCAAGAGTTTATCTTGTTAAACCAGATTCACCATTTAAATAAACATGAATATACTGTCATATTTTTGTTTCACAGAAGAAAGTCATACAGGTTTACAGAGAGATGAGGCTATATTGATTATGACAGAATCTTCATTTACAAGTCAACTATCCCTTTAAGTTGAGTTATAGAACATAGTCCAGCATGAACAGGCCTGCAACAGCTGGTCTTTTCAAAAGGCGATTCAGTTTATGTATCCATTGTAAACACATTATATAATTTCCATTTTAATCATATTGTCCACAATAACATCATGTCATTCTTTCTATTCGTCTCCCAGAGGAGGATGGAAGGCACTCAACGACGCGTTCGATTCTCTGAGGAGGTCATCATCTTAACACCCAGCTACTTGCCAGAGAATGACGATGACGATGATGAAGATGATGATAATGATTGCCCAGAGGAGCCTTCTCCCCGGCCTTCAATCCCTAAGTGGAATGTGTCTTTAAAAGGAAAAAGTGCAAAGTACAAATTTTAACTCCCTTTGCATCTGACTCCACCCCTGAAATTCTGCAGTTCACATTTACTGTAAGACTGGCGAGACAGCACAAATAAGAGACAATTATGATTAATACATTTATTACGAAAACCAAAATCATTTTAGATTGTGATATGCCAGTGCTATATTGATATGCCATTCAATTAAATTTAAAAATAAAAGTGAAATGTTATAAAAATAATAATAGAATTATTTCACAAATTCATGTGTAAAGATGTCATTTTATAAGATTAACATTACTTACAATCTCCAAGTCAACAGAATGAAAATCCAGCTGATTTAGACTAATATTTCACACTAAACACACTAAATATCCATGAATCCTGAATGCACTTTTAGCTTCTGAAAGGATAGTGTCACATATCATCATTTTTATCTGTTACTTAATGAATAAATTACTGTTCTTTGTTTGTCATTTCATTTGCTGCTGCTTAAGTATTGTATACTACCAGTCAAGTAAAAACAAAAGTTAAAGAAGTGAAACAAAAAGTTATAGAGGTTTAAATTTTATGAACATTTTTGATGAATAATTTTATCCAATTGGCTTTATAAAAAGCAGAAGCAGAAAACAGGAATAAAGCGAGCATTTTCTTTATAGGCCCAAACCTGAGAAAATGGCACCATCTGGTGAAATGAAAGCCTATTAACAAAGACTGCATCATTTAATAGTTAAATGGCCCTGGGATTAAAAATTGTAGTTTTAATGGGGTCATTTTTGTCCTTAAGGTTAATTGTTACTATTTTGTGTACCCAGTGTAAAATAGGTTTATTAAAGGAAATGGGGGTGAAATGGTAAAATTCCAATAAAAACACACACTTGTGCCAAAATGTATGCAGTTGGCATTTACGTGTGTATTAATGGTCAAAAAAAGAAAGAAAAAAAATGTCTATAAGGATGCACAAGGGTTAAATGCTTAAAACATACATATATGAATTGTGAAAAATTGTGCATTTCTTTAGAAAATAATAGGTTGATTAAAACTGTAAAGCAGCCAACAAGTGTCCAGCAAACATGGAAACTCCTTCAAACTCCTTCAAGCCTAAATATAAGATAAGAAAAAAGACATTTTTGATTGTTTAACATTTGTTAGTTCTGTGTAACTCTCCTACTAACATTTGTTATTTCATATAATTTCGATAGTTAGACTTGATTATTATTCTAAATTGCAAAAAAATAGTAAGGATAAAAAATGACTTTTGACCTCTGGTGTATAGATGTGTGTTTTCTGAGGGTTTGAGGCTGAGGGAAGATAGCTTTACTTCAATGCATTAACAACCCTAAAGGTTCACAGACTTAAACCAAAGTAAGGTATGTATACTATTACTTGAAGAAACTGCAAATAATCTAAAAATAAGTAGTAGAATTATTTGAAAGTCTCATGGGTTTGTTCGGGCCGCGTGACTCACTCCTGTCGTCCAATAGAAAAGGTCCCTGAGTCATTTGAGCTCTTCCCCAAAGCTTTGATTGACGCCTGGCTGCCCTGGTAGGGTCTGTTTGACTCCTGCACAATCTCTGATACCTGTTATAAAGAGGGTAGAAAGATAAGACATCGCTCTACTTTACCTCTGCATATATAAGCAAACTCAAGTCAGATAAACAATCTGGCACCTCTTCAAATTTCTTTGCTTTGTACTCGTCGGCCCCTTTATGGAAGTTGAGAAGGATGATGTCACAGAACACTGTAGCCTGCAAAAATATACAACAGTCAAATATGTATGTTTTTTTTTTTTTTTTTTTTGCCAGCATTAATTTTTGCATTTCACAATGATCTTACCAATCCCACTGAAGTGAATGCTGCGACCAAATTAATCAGAAATGGCACAGTGTTAAACTTTCCCGCCTGCAAATAGATACGCAAAGTTAGACACACACAAGGCCATATGTGTCACAAAAGCTGCTTTATATAGCGTATAGGGCGGCAGTGTAAAATACCTACATTGCCAGACACTATTATTTCAAAGCGGATGGCATAAGCTTTATGAAGCGTTCGATACTCAGTCCCATCTTCGGACTGATAGTATTTAGCAAACCTGGAAGAGACAAAAACAATATGCAGTTGCAGAAAAGCCGGAACGGTGCATGAGTAGCCGAGTGTGTTCGTGCGCTACCTGAAGTTATATCCTTTAGAGGCTTTGCTGTTCTCAAAAGCAGCATCTAGGCGTGTGAAGAAGTACTTGGGTTTGCAGTTCTCCACATCATAGTCAAGATTACACTTCCAGTTGATGTTAATTCCAATCTCTCCTCCCTGACAAAAAACAAAACAAAAACCAGGCAGTAATTTCATTACATGTGACAAGCTGTTTCCACATTAAAGCAGATTATTCTAGTATTCATCCCTCTAGGCCAGAATTAAACAGAATCCAGCTCCGTCTTTTCACCTACTGTATTTTTGTTACACGTGACTACTATAAGGCTAAATAAGTAGGTGTATGGAAGCTTGTTTGTTTGATAAAAAAAGCGACTTTTAATTTTAAAGAGATACAGTTCACCCATAAATGAAAACTGTCATCATTTAGGCTACTCACCCTCATGTTGTTTCAAACCTGAAAAAGATGATCTTTTAAAGAATGTTGGTAATCAAAAGTTGACGGTAGCCATTGGAAAGAAAAGAAAATACTATGGAAGTCAATGGGGCCCATCAACTGTTTTTGATTACCAACATTCTTTGGTAAGATTATCGTGACATGCAAAGATTAATGCTGACAACAACAACAACAACAACAAAAAAACATACATATTTGACATAGGTATAGAAGGATATTTTTGAATATCCGATTGTATTTGTCTGAAAGATGAATGTCATACACGAATAGGATGGCTTGAGGGGGAGTAAATCATGGGCTAATTTTCATTTGAAAGTGAACTACTCCTTTAAGACCACAGTGTATAATCTTCTGATGGCTACTTCCAGATAACGCACCGTCACAAAGCTCAAATCATCTCAAATTGGTTTCTTGAACACGACAGCAAGTTCACTAAACTCAAATGGCCTCCACAGCAGGGACGTGCAGACAGTTCCTCAGGGGCAGGGGCTCAAATGTAAAAAAGGGGCATAGGCTATATATATACTAATAGTAATATAAGTATACAAGTAGCCTACCGGGCAAAAGTTTGGACACTACTATTTTTAATGTTTTTGAAAGAAGCCTTTTATGCTTATCAAGACTGCATTTATTTGATCTAAAATACAGAAAAAACAGCAATATTGTGAAACACTACACTTTGAAATGATTGTTTTCTATAATTATATACTTTTTGATGTAATTGATCTCTTTGGAAAATTGAAAATAGGAAGAGATGAAAGGCAAAGCTGAGTTGACCTACACGTTTAGTAATGTAGTCCAAACTTTGATTGAGTTGTTTCAGGATATGTCCCACTTTGAAGATCGGACAGAACGGGTGGCGCACCGGGTCATATGTACATGTCTTAATGTAAGACTGGTTTAAGCTTGAAGGGAAATTGCCCCTGTGAAAGTAAGACAGAAAAAGCACATCAGTAGTCTGAAGCAATATTAGGCTATTGTTATTATTTGGGCTTTCTTTCAAAAGGGCACTATATTAATTATATTTAGAGCTGTCAATAAATGTAGGGTTGTTGATGAACATTTTTATGGAATTATTGACATTAATCAAATTAATCACAAGGTGATTGAACTTTATTACACTATTGTGGGCATATTAATAAATCATTGAATATATGAACAGTGCAGTCAACATATTGAACATAAGTCTATCACTTTGGCCACAGTCCATTTTGCAATGAAGTTGTTTTTTTTTTTAAATCACATTTTAAAAATAATCAATTTTGGTACATTCATACACTGGAAAAAAATATATGAACAGTAAGTCATGACAACATATGTTTTTACATTAACTCGTCAAAAGAAGTTAAGCAGTTTTAAACTTTTTTATGTTAACTATACAATTTTCAACTCATTTTTTAATGCAGTTTAATGTAATTTAAGTTGAAATTACTTATACATCTAAGTTGATTGTACTTAAACAATTAAGGCAGCAACTTTTTTAAATGAGATTCAATTCTAAAAATTAATTTTAAAATGAAATGGCTTCTCACAACACAACAGTATATAGTTTTTAATCCTTGTGCAAAGGTAATAAACTCACCTAGTGACATCGAACAGAGGGAAGCGAATGCTGTTTTTGATGAAGATTGTGAAGTTCTCCACCTCTTTCATTGGCGTTCTAAGAGTGAGCAGATTTAATAATGTTTCTAGCACTAAAACTATCTATTTTGGATTGCAAGACAACTCCCACTGTGTAGGCCTACAGTATTTAAATTACAAGTCCAAAAGGTTGCACTTTTTCTTACCCAGAAACGTTGTCATCCTCTGCAGGGCACCAGCCTTCAATTTCACACATTCCTGTACTATTTGTACTATTATCGATCAAGCACGTGCCTGTTAAAATACCTGTACAAAAAGGAGAGGTGTATCAAGCAACCTAGAAAGTATTAGCATGCTTCTCTGCTACATGGTTACTCGCTGAAGTACTATATAAGTAGACCTGAAAGTGATGTCAGCCGTAGAAAGAGAACAAACTCACCATTCCCTATATTTGAGCTATTATTCTTATTGCAGTCATGATCAGTTGTGCAATTAAACTTCTCGTCAGTCTGACAGACAAGGGAACAGTAGAGAGAGAGAGTGTGTAAGTACATAAGGTCGCATATTTAAAGTATATTTAAAGTCAGCTGAGGTTTGGGTGTCACCTCAGGGCACGATCCTTGCGTCTGATTGGCTGTGATGACCATGTTGGTGATGATAGAGAACGATGAAGCACCCTGAAAAAATGTGTTGAAAAGTTCACCTCAGACCAGGACTTTGAAGAGAAGGGGGATCCAAAACGTAATTGTGTTTCATATTTCAACGTTGAAATGTGCATTTGCTGACCTGTGATGGAACTACATAGTCTGCTACGTCCATCACACGGTTATTGAAGTAGCCCAAGCCCTTCACTTTGGTCATGACCGCATACTCAATCCCAGTGTCCCGTTGCTGATGTCCTTTTTCATGCAGGAACACCCAACTAAAAAAAAACACGCGCACATAACAACAAATAATCGATCTAACCTGTTCACTATTAAGATCAATGATTTAAAAAAAAAATACTTTTACTATTCTCTGGCTAAAAAGTTAGTTAGTCATCTAAATGGGTAATAAACAGGCTATATATCTATAAATAGATAAATGTATAGATGGATGGATGGATAGATAAATATAGATAGATGATAGATAGATGGACGGATTGATATAGATAGATGATAGATAGATAGATGATAGATAGATAGATAGACGGATGGACGGATGGATGGATGGATGGATAAATATGGATGGATGGATGGATAGATATAGATAGATAGATGATAGATAGATAGACGGATGGACGGACGGATGGATGGATGGATGGATAAATATGGATGGATGGATAGATAGATAGATAGATAGATAATCAGAGTCATTAACTAATTAATGGTGCACTTACACCCATTTACACACTTACGAAACAAAACAGGATGGATAGATAAATATAGATAGATAGATAGATAGATAGATAGATAGATGGACGGATTGATATAGATAGATGATAGATAGATGATAGATAGATAGATAGATAGATAGATAGATAGATAGATAGATAGATAGATAGATAGATAGATAGATAGATAGATAGATAGATAGATATATAGACGGATGGACGGACGGACGGATGGATGGATGGATGGATAAATATGGATGGATGGATGGATGGATAGATATAGATAGATAGATAGACGGATGGACGGACGGATGGATGGATGGATGGATAAATATGGATGGATGGATGGATATATATAGATAGATAGATAGATAGATAGATAGATAGATAGATAGATAGATAGATAGATAGATAGATAGATAGATAGATAGATAGATAGATAGATAGATAGATAGATAGATAGATAGATAGATAGATAGATAGATAGATAGATAGATAGATAGATAATCAGAGTCATTAACTAATTAATGGTGCACTTACACCCATTTACACACTTACGAAACAAAACAGAAATAATACATTTCAGCAGTTATATTAATTAGTCCCAAACCTTCATTATTCAAAACATTTACATGTACATTTCCAAAGGTTAATTACATTTTCTGCTCTTCAATCTCAAACACCACCAAGTACAATCACTGCATTCAACCCTAATTTCTTTTTCCTTTATTTACTAGCCCTTAAACCAACACTAATATTTAAAATGAGTTTAAATTAATATTAGCAACAAGGACATAATCAAAGCTTACCAGATAAAATACAGAATAATCAACAGCTGGACGAAACGGTTGATGATTCCAACAGACCAGCTCTTCACCACAACTGATTTGGCTGTTTCGTAGACGAAGAAATCAGTGACGAAGTGCAGCACTTTGGGAGCCATAGTATTAGAGTGTGTAGTTTAATGCTAACAAGTGTACGCTGAAGAAAGTCTCGAGATCCAGTGCAGGACAAGCCAGTGTGTTCCTCACTGCTGTGCGTCTGCTGAATGAGGGATCTTCCAGTTACAACACTTGATGCATTGGGGGAAAATAAATACTTTTGACAACAATTTCCCTCCCCTTTTCATATGCATGCCTCTCCTCCATCAGACCCCAAGGGGCCTTGGCTGCATTTCCTTAATAGCCTGCTCATTTGTGTCAGGGTTGTTGCAGGATACTGAAGACGAGGGAACAGAATTTAAATGTAGCTGTTTATTCACAAACTCAGGATACATGAAAACACAGGAACTCAGGAAAACAACCATACACCGACGACGATCAACAAACACTGAGGGAAAACACAGGGCTTAAATGAACGGGGACTAACGGGATAATTAACTGAACTCAGGTGATGGGGATTACTAATTGGCTTTATGCACAGCTGCACTACTTCCTGAACTTCAGCCAGCTCCTTTGTTTCCTGTCTGCCATTATTGGACAAACTGATTAATCCAGGTGTGCCTGGCCTCAGTAATAATAATCAGGCACACCTGGATTAATCAGTTTGTCCAATAATGGCAGACAGGAAACAAAGGAGCTGGCTGAAGTTCAGGAAGTAGTGAAGCTGTGCATAAAGCCTATTAGAAAGACCGGGAAAACTAACAGGACTGAACCAAAATCACAATAGACAGGGGGAAACAAGATCACAGAACACATCAAAACGTGACAATTTGCTCATCTCTTCTCAGCTTTATTTGAGGGAATTTTTTTTTTTTACAAACCAAACCTTTAATAAATATAAACACATCACTACGTCTAATTGTAACAGTTGATTTGCGAAAGCTCTTTACTGTAAATTTACGCACATACTGTAAATTTAATGTATTCCACATTGTGACTCTGCGTTTGTTCCATTTTGTCTTTGGCATCTTCACCACACATACAGTCACTGTATGCATTACCATTGTTGTTTTAATTTCGCCTCCAAAAAGTTACAATCATATAGGTAAAAAAGTACATTTCTAAAAACTCAAAACTGTTCACCCTTGTGGCATAGCTATCAAGTCAATCATTCAAAACCTGCCAAAGTCAATCTTCATAGGGAAGTTGATTTTTAACGATAACTTTTAAACCTTTAAAGAGGTTGTTAATCTATGATATTTGCTGCTGTTGAAGCTGTCTGCATTTTTCAACTTATTTTTTAAAGTAATTGTGTTTAATAGCAGAATTTGTGGTGAAAAACTACATAACCCATGATGCTGTTCCACCAATTAGAGTAAACAAGCAAAATACACCAAACATCTCCTTAGCTCCGCCTACTCCCATGATGCACTGCAAATTAAGTAATCAAGTCGATCTCCCTACGCTCTCAAAATACTTAAATATTTGTGTAATCAACATTTTTAAATGAGTTTTATATTTCTCCATTGTTTTTAATTTGATGTCATTCGCAATGCTTCATGGGATTGTAGTTCTATCTGTCATTAAAGCCGTTAAGTACACAGTGTTGTAACCTTTGTATTTTTGTCCAATTTTCAAATAATTTTTTGCTTTGAACCAAAGTTTTGTGATGTGATTCGCCTCGTGGCTGGTTGGCTTTGTTCATGGCTTATAACGCTTTAACAAAGACTTTTTTTTTTTGATCCCAAAGGGAGAAATGACAAAGTGGCATCGCCAACTACTGGCCTGGCATGTATAATACAGCCTTTTTAGTCATTTTCGCAGATCCGTGTGAAAGGGGATCGGTTTGACAACGTTGTCGTCTGTTTTTAGTACATCGTTGTTGTGTAAACATACCCTGAGATCCTCCCCTCAACTACTACTTTCTTGCCTACAAAACCGTGATATTAAATCAAAAAAAAAAAAAAAAAACTCTTTAAAGTAACAATTACTGGTTACCACTTTTTACAGTGCATTTCATCATTCAAAAAGCATTTTCATTCAAAAAGTTAAAAACTGGGAACATTTTACTTAAAAATGATGAAGAATTACAGGGCAAATACATATATAACATGGACTATAACAATTAAAAACACAACAGCCTCATTTTGTTCAATGTTTGAGGGTCCCATAGAAGACCTTTTGTTTCGTTTTACAACTCTCATGTTCTCAGATATGGTATTTCTAGTTTTTTTTTTTTATTAAGGTGAATGCTTTGAATAAATGTAATATCAAACAAGACAATCTGCTGATTATCAACAATCTCAGATTATACACATTTCGTAATTTAACACGATTTTATACTTGCACCTACTTTTTAAGTGGATAAACTGATGTTGTTACAACTATTGCTGGTCTCTCCAACTCGCACTCATTTTAAACCAACACTATGGCTGCGTCCGAAATCGCATACTCTCTTGCGTAGGTTTTTATTTTGAATAAGTAGGCTACTTCACGACCATTAAAAAGTACGTTCTATATAGTATGAATGTGTGCAGTATGAATATAATCCGGGCGTACTACATTCGTCATGTTGTCATTATCATGTGACCTACCAGCGCCAGTTGTGTCGCCTCACTACCATTCACAAATACTACTCTCCCGTGTCCTCATGGGAGAGTGAAGTGTCCATAATATGCACACTTCAGAATCTCGCTGGAAGAAGTAGGTCATCCGGGTACTTTTTGCCTACTCTTTTATGAGTACTGTGAATTCGGACATAGTACATTTGTCACATAATGTTTTTTGCCTACTATATAATAGGGAGGCCTATATGCGATTTCAGATGCAGCCATTCTTATGGCAATTCTTAACAATTTTTTTATATTAATCCGTACGATATGTTTAGGAGGCCATAATGTTTTTTTATTTTCTAAAAATCGTATGTTTTCGTATGAAATCGGCACCTCGCGAAATTACGTTTTCCTATGAGATCAGGATTTGTAAACTGTAATGCCATTCGCCGTTTGCTACTGTACTCCAGACAGGTTCCCTTTACAAACAAGATGAGATGGAACTGCCAATCATAGAGTATCCCGCTCTATTTGACAAAGAAAATCTATAGGTAGCCTATACCCAGTGTTTGACGATTTTAGAAACGGACCACTTAACGTAAAAATAGGATCAAAGTGATAAAAAAATAAAATAAAGCTGTTCGCCATCATACTGACTAACCCATTTACTGATGGAGGATGCTCTGGCCTGGACATTTCTGGAATCGTTTGCAAATTGTGTCCACTTAAAATGAAGATCACATTTCCTCATCACTGAAGTGAGCCCATTATGTTTGTGGTCAATTACAATGTCACGTCATCTCCAACTGGAAAGCTTTCAGAGAAGCATTTTTGAGTGGACACAACTTCCCATAAATTACACATGCGTTGAGCACTGGTATTATTGATATCGCACATGGCACAAAAAAATGGATTATCCTTCAAAGACGACATACAACGACCCCCATGAGAAAGAACAGGAGTTTGACAGCGAGAGAGGCTACTGTATGTTTTGTTTTGATTTATCTATTTTATATAGGCTATACCTATATCATGTATAGGGTAATGTTATTTAAATTTATTTATTTTAAATCATTTTAAAAAGGCAACAGAAAGGAGGAGAGAGTCTTCAATTTACTTTTACATCAGACCATCAAGCACAACTTCATCCGTCTCTCTTACCCCTTCTTGTCAAATTAAAAACCACATCTTTTCAACTTCCCTTTGCTTTTGCCAGACCACATATCTTCACTGAAGGACTTCTGCTGTATTAAAAGCCACAAGCTCTCATTGTAAGCCATTACTGGTACTTTATACCCCTGATGGGGTTCATTTACTTGCCTTTGAGTGCTAACAAAATCCTTTTGGAAAGGGTGATTGGTTGGGTCATCTCAGATGTTTGACAGCACATGTGCTGCGTTGGGACAATGCCTTGCTACTTAAGCAGGTTTAATGTTCCGTAATTTTTCCGTAAAAAATGACAGGATAAGCTAAATTTAACAGATAAAGCAGGGCCGGTTCTAGACATTTGGAGGGCCCCCATCTGTCTATCTATTGCAGTAATTTGTTCAGTAGGCTCATTTATTTACAGTAACACCCAACCACTGTTTGGGATAACGAACAGTTTGCCTACTCAATACAAAAAACAAAAAAACGACATTACATAGCCAAAAAAAAAAAAAAAAACTTTCCTGGACACCACTTCAGCAAATGAACAACAGTGCTTTTATTATTTTTTTCCTGTGTATCAGGATTTCACCCTTCTTTTGAACCAATATAGCAATTGCAGTAGCCTATGCTATAGCCTATACACAAATCAACTGCTAGTGGAAGTACAAGAGACAAATACTGAACAGAAAAAATGGTTAGTTTCTTCATAAAATTAATAACAGTAGGCCTATATAGCATATTTATGGTTTTAAAACTGAAATTAAGTATTGTGAGAGCAGCAATGTAATCATCAGCAGAATTTAGAAAACGCATGACAGCTGGGGTACCACCAAATAAACATCAATGAACGTCCGAAATTTGAAAGATACAGAAATGTATCATGTCTCGTCATCGTTCAATAAGTGTTTAAACCACGGAAAGACGAGAATAAAGCCATATAGCCATTCGACCATAGCATGTTAGTTTGTGGAAAAATAAACTCTAAAGAGGAGCATTTTGCTATTAGGCCCTACATATATTTTAACGTTTAAATCAAAGATGTTATAAGATTAGGCTACTATAAAAACAGCATTATATTAATTGTGTAATGTACGTATGGGTTAATTTTAATACTTTAATAATAATACCACCTGACAGGTTTCCCTGTTGTTTACAGCTTTGGTTGAGAGAGATTTGTTTCCTTGAGAAAAATTAACATGTAGGTCTTGAAATTGAATCGCAAGCTTAGGGTGTATCGAGTCACAAGTTTTCAGCACTTCTAGTTCATCAAGTTTTTTTTTTCTCAAGGGATTTAAAAAATATACAAGTGGGTTTAAATTGCCCAAAAGTTCACTTTTACAGCCTTGTAAAGGTTAATACATAACCTTCTACTGCATGCATTTTGATGGCACATGGAAAAAAAATTATTCCACATCATTTCTTGACTAATTTGGGAACATTTTATTGATTTATTGAAAATGTTCAG